TGCGAGAAGTTACTCATTGGCACTGAAAATCCCCACCCCGGCAACTGTGGAAGCTGAGGATCGACGGGCGCAGTGCTCACTCGATGACCTCGCGAGGCGCAGATCAGAACCCGCGGCCCGCTGGGGAAGATGGCGAAGACATGGGTCGAAGGGCCAAGGCGACCAACGACGATGTCGACGTCGCTCCCGACGAGGAGAACCCTCCGCGGCCCACAAATTGGCAACTCATGTCGAGGTCGTGTCACCGAGATCACGCGGGGCGACGCGGGCGGCATTCGCGCTGAGACCGCGGCATTCCGCGCGCCCCTTCCAGCAACGGGGGAAAGCGCCAGCGGTCGAGCAAGGGGCGCTTGGGAACGGCGGGCTTTCAGAGAGGCTATGCGGATGGATGGACCCAGTTCCCTTCCAAGGAGTTGGGCCCGTCCTCTCCCCCAGACTCAGGGCCGCCTGATTCATGCGATGGGGCGCCATGTCATCAGCCCCCGCCGATGGACGAGGCGATTCCATTGACGAGAGAGCGTGTCTGGCAGCATCCCGCATGGAGCAAGTACACCTGCGTCTTCGCCGAGGGTGTCATTGCACGTCGCGCAAGGAGGTGGAAGAAGGGTCGATGTTGAAGCTGGTGGGATCGTGCGATTACTGTGAGCAGCCCAACACTGCATTGCGCATCGACCTACGCACACCACATCAGCGCGCATATTACCGCTGGGCCAAGGCCCACCGACGCAACGCTTCCGCCAAGGTCCTGGCACATGCAACGATGCTCTTCGAGCCGCGGTGCCAGTCCGAGTTGCGCGAGGGGGCGGCGGGGCTGAGCGAAGAAGCCGACAGCTCGACGGCAACGTCAGCAGACTCGGATCCTACCAAGGACGAGGGGGGACAACTGTCCGCCGCGAGCATGGAGGCGGGAGGCCGCGGCGATGCCGTAGCCCCCCCCCTGCCCCATAGCCGTCCGCATCTGCGACGCCCGCGCAGGCTCGAGAGCCTCTCGACGACACGAACCACAAGCACGGACAGCCATCCATCCGAGAGGGACCGAGCCCGGCGGCTCTGGACGCGCCCGACGAGGACAACCCCCCGCCCCACCGCTGTCCGGCGCTGAAAGTCGGGCCCAGATGTCGCTCTTGGCTTTCGAGGACGCAGAGGACAAGAAGTCGGATGGCGCCCGAGATAAACATGATGATGGCGCGGAACGCCACGCCGAGGTTATACCTGAACGGGAGGCCAGGCTCATTCCCCTTCGACAGAATCTCCGACAAGCTTGCCCGCGCATTCTTTTCAAAGCATGTCTGTCTCTGGGGGGGCCCGACGCCGCCAAAGAGGGAACATATATCGATAAGTGGGTGCAGGCAGAGGAAAGAGGAGCTTGGGGATATGGCCCACCTCGGCCATGAGCACGCGGAGGAGGACGAGTGCGGCGCCCCGCTCACTGAGGAAGACGACGACGCAGGATTGCGGGCCGTTCCTATTGAGCTGGCTCGGCAGCTGGACGAGCATCATGACTCTGGCCCCGAGTCCTCCGCAGACAGAGAAAATCGGGGCAGTGGTTTCTAGGGAAGAACGCTGAAATGGTCACGTGATTTGGTGGGCGATGCGCCACTAGCTTTCCTGCGACGCCTGTCCCCTGAGGATGGGGCAAAGGCGCGTCGATTCCTGCGCGCCCGCTACAGCGCGTCTGAGCCGCGCTGCCTCCCGACGCCCGAGTTTGGCCGCGCCCCGATGAATTTGACGGGCGGTGAACTGCGCATTCGCGTGGTCTTCGGGGGCGGACGTGGAAGATGCTGGACGCATTGGCTCGCTCATCGTTCCTAGCTGTGCATAGCGCAGCTCATGTCCGCAGTTCAGGAGGATCAATGTGCGGGACGACGTGGGTCATGTCAGGGTTTGGGCACGCTATATGCATGATCTTGCTCAACTACCAACTACCATGCCATGCTGTCCAGATCCTTGGCGTGAGCATGGTGAACGCAGATGAAGGCCCCGCGGCTGAGCCAAAATTTGTGGGGCGAAAGTTCCGGGCGCAATCCACCTGGCGTCGACTATGTCGACAGGAACGCACCTATGGTGACGCCTTTGGCGAGAGTGCCACTGCTGTTCCCCGCTTGCAGGGGTCAGTCTGCTCAAATCGTTGACCCGAAACGCCTGTGCACCACATGTGATGCGGCAGCGAGGTACTCACACCAGGCAATCATCCTTCCATTGGACGATGCCTCGGTGCGAAGGTCTATGACCGTGCATGTCGAGCTGCCGCAAAGGGACTCCCAGGGCGCGCGGCAGTGCCGTTTCCTGACCTGCATGCCGACTCAGCTTGGACCGTACCCTGCCCTTGAGGGCCGAGTCATCAGAGACCATGAGCCGTGGTCTGGTGGGGCAATTCAGTTGGTACGGAGAGCGCAGGAGGGCCAATGCGGTTAAATGCATGGGCAAGCTTCCGACGTGGCTTAGACCTGGAGGATGGGCGCGAGCAGTGGCCGACAAAGAATTTGATGCCAGTGTTTTCGGCTTGGAAGATTCGCACCGCTCTCGGAGTCGCATGTGCTCACCTTCGAGCCTCGCATCTTCGAGAACAAAGACAGATGGATTCAACGCGATGGCTCCCTGGCGATTACGTTACGGCCCACACGGAGCGACATTCATCAGATCATGCGTCTTACCGTGCAGGGGATGCAGCGAATTTGGATATCGTGGGCTTTGGTGTATGACCGACGCTGCGTTGCGGTTAAGGGTTTCCCCGTTTTCGATGCGGCATGCGTAGACTGGATCAAACATCACCACGTTCTGGTTTAGATACTTGGTGATGGTGATGATGCTACTGTGCTCCCTTCTACTGCGAGGAAGATTGCACTCTGCGCGCGGAATGTCTGGGATGGCGGCTATCTTCTGCGCCGCAACGATTGCCGCAACAGATTGGGTGCATATCCTTACGCGCAGGGCTCCTTTCCAGCACGGCACCTCCTATCACTGACCCTGACATGATTGGCCGAAGGTCGACTTCCGAGAAATCGGTCCCCAAGCGGAGTCGAGAGGGCTGCGCCCCCAACCCTACGGCGCAGAGCGCGTGGGGGAAATGGACGGGCTATGATGACGACCGCGCGCAGGTACGAGCACAGAACAGGTGAAAAGACACCGGCGAGGAAGGTATTGGCGCTTGTAGAAAGAGTGCACTGCAAGGAAAGACCGCGCTGCACAGCAACATCATGACGGTCTTTGCCCGGCTGCCAACGCCCCCAGATGACGAGCCACCCGAGCGGCAGAACCCCTGCAAGCAGGAGAAGGCCAAGAAGGTGGCTCATTGGTGTCCAGAACGTGCACCTCAAGACGCTTGCTACTGGTAAGAACGCTGTCGTCATCGGTGGATGCGGTGGCCGCGCGTCAGCGGGGTGAGATTGAATGGGGCGGCCATGCCACGCTAGAACCTTCGACTGGGACTATGATCGTTCGGCGGGCCGCCATCGCGAAGAGCCCAGCATCGGATGGCCCGCGCGGCGCAGTGAATCCTCGCGGAGCGCTGAAGTCGAACCGCTCAGTCAATTTAAAGCTGTCATGGAACAGGAAATAGAGGATTACTCGCCGCCAGTGAAATTCCCGAGAGCTCCGCGGCCGCCAGCGCGCGAAGCCGGGGCCCGGGCACCACTTGATTATTTCGGGGTAGGCCCCCCCCCCCCCCTCGGACGCAGTCTGCCGGTGGGGGGGGGGCAGAGAACGATGTCTGCGAGGCAGCAAGCAAGTCTGACGACGCCGGTGGCAAGGTGGCCGAGACTGACGGCAATGGGAGGAAGTGGGCAAAGCGGTCGCGCGCCAGGCCATCGTCAGGAACCCAGGCGACGCCGAGCTGAGAACCCAACCCAGTGGGACACGTACTCACGCGCGGGGGGCAGCCTCTTCGAGCTCCGCCTCGGCCGCGGGCCGCCAGTTGCGAGAGACTTCTGGCTGGGCGCGCCCTGGCATAGCGAGGCCGGTACCTCGCGGTGCCGCGCGGACAATGCCTTTCCATGGCGCGCGTACACCGACGACGAGCAGCAGAATGCGGATTTCTCCCTCCCATGATGGTCGTCTTGGAGCTAGGGCCCATGCAACTGGCGAGGTGGCAACAGCTGGAGCCGCGACGACTACATATAGGGTTGAGAGGAAGAGAACGAGGGGAACCTGCGGCTATGCCACAGGTGCCTCCTCGAGGCAATCGATGGCGGTTCAAGTACGTCCCGAACGGATGAGGTGAACCGCTTGGCACTGCTTTGCTGTGCACTGAGTGTCCCAGAGCGCTGTGGGCGAGGTGGCGGGCGTGCTGCCTGCCAGGCGCGGCGCGACGGGCCGCTTCATGGGCAAATTTCGGACGCTGTCAAATCCTCGATGTCCACCCGCGCGAGTGGAGCTCGCCCAGGTGGCCGCGGTGTGAGTTGATTGAGTCACGCCCCTGCCATGCTTCAGCCTCATTTGCTTAACCTTGCTGCGGCTATTCTGGCTGCGGTCGCAAAAAGGAGCATCGGCCCGCCCGCCCGCGCGTCCGCCAGCCGGCCGGCCCTCCTCCGATTACCGTGACCCTAGCCATGACTTAGCGGCACACTGCAACATCGCGCCATGGCCACAAGGAGTACGTCACCGATACATCGCTTGGATATGAGACTACTACAACAAGAAGATCATTACGAAGAACACCTACACGCGTTGTCGTTTAATCGGGCTGCGAAAGCCGCCCTCCTGACGGAGGATTGGTAAAACACTCGATCACCATCGTGGTCCCGAAAATTTGCCGTCACGCCAGAAACGCCAGCGGCGCAGTGCACGCCGAGAGAGGGAAGGAGGGAAGGAGAGAGGCAGCGAACCGTGCACGTGCAAGGTGAATTTGTATTGGCCAGGAACGGCACGTGGCACCCAGGGGATCACGCGTGTGTTTCTATTTCCACCCACCGAAGTTGAGATTTTACGCTGCTGGAATTGTTGCTGGTTCGGGAGCTTCCTGCGGGGTGCCCCGCGGTGGGCCCGCCCGCCTTCGCGACGAGGAGTACCGGCATCATCACGGGCGTGCCCGCCGCGAAGACGGAACCGACCATTTACAAGGCACGCCGCCGCAGCGAACCAGATTTCCCAGCGTTCCGCACACCCGCCCCCAGGAGGATGGGGAACGGGGGGGGGGGAGGAGGAAAGGAGGAGGAAAATGAGGAGGAGGAGGATGCAGGAGGGGGAGGGGCAGGGAGTTGGAGGGGGAAACGGAGGGGCAATGGGCGACGGGCTTACGGAATTACGGATGTTGCGATTCTGTCGGTTCCGAATGAAGATGCGAGTTCGTATGGCATCAAATTGTAAGGCAAATCCAGACAACCAGATGCGGAGGTTGAGTATCACATACATTGAACATGGAACACGATTTGGAGCACGACATGGAGGCGAATCGAAACCTGCGTTGAGCGTCTGCGATTCTTGCAGCCGCGATCGACATACGGGCCAAAACACACACATGTGCGGAAACAACCTCAAGCTTTGTGTGGCTTCGCGCGTATCAGCCACCTCCGCCACCACATGCCCCGGATAATGTTTCCATACATTCAACGTTATTGAATCAAACTTCGCAGTTTCACGCGATAGAAATTTAACTATCGGATACAAACTTGCAACCTGCGCGCGTCGGTCCGCGGGGTTGTCCCGACGGTCCACGGGGTTGTCCCGACGGTTTTCTCCCGCGCCCCAGCGGCCCACGAGGTTATCCCGACGGCCTGGCCTGCTGGGTTGCCCCAGCGGCTTTGCGATCCGGCCGTCGGAGAACGCTCGCATGCCGGTTGTGGCGTTGAGGGCACCGAGGAACATTCTACATGCGTGCCCCAGCCAGGGATAAGGAAATGTGCATGAGGAGAGCAGGCTGGATGGAAAGGGAAACGGACGAGGAGGATATGGAGGAAGAGAATGAGGAAAAGGACGAGGAGTAGGACGAGGAGGAGGAGGCAGGAGGAGGAGGAAGAGGAAGAGGATGAGGATGAAGAGGAGGAGGCAGGAGGATGAGGCGAGAGGATAAGTGCAAGGCATGAGGGGGTAGGAGTACGGAGAAGGAGGATATCCCCAGCCAGCCTGAAAAGATTTTCATGCGGGGTCGCACTGTCGGGGTAATTACGTGCCCCACGACCCCGCCACGAATTTTGAGACCGCCCCCAGGGGAAGGTAATTCAATAATTTTGGCATTGCCCCACTCGCGCGGACTAGAACAATTTTATGTGGGACATCGGATGGTGGGTGGGGAGATCGTAGTCGGACGGAAAGACCCTACTAGGAATCGGTTTTGGTTTCGTGTTCGTGTCGTGCGTGCGGGTGAGGCGAATCTGCGTGGGCGCGCGAAAGGAATGATCCCGCCATCGCTATCGTGATTCGGATGCAGTGGACCGCCCCCCCCCCGCCCCCCGGTGGGCGCGCGGTGGCCCGGGGTGTCCCGCTGTGGTGTCCCGCGTTGGTAGCGATCGTGAAATCGATAGTGTGATCGATAATAAGATCGTTAGAATGGTGTGGACAATGAGACCGAGAGTGAGATCGACAGTGCGGTTGATTTTGGTACTGGTTGTGCTCAGGTTGACGGATGCGCAGGGAGGCGACGTCCTCTGAGCGTGTAGATCTCGCGGAGACAGGCGATCTCTCCCCTGGGCCGAGCACAGTGGGATCGATCGCTAAATCCATCGGTGCTAAGATTAACCAGGAGGTCGATAGTGGGATCGATGGAGTGAGATCGAAAGCGGGTGCGATAGTGGCATTAATAGCAACGCGTTGTCGTCATCACACGTCGCCGCTACATCGAGAGCACGTCACCAGCATCGTCATCATCACACCCATTGCAGTTGCCAGCGGTTTGCTATTCCCCCCACCCCCCAACCGAAGGGTGATCCAGGTCGCACAGGTAGGAAGTTGGATTCTAACGTCTTCCTTCCCCGCTTGCTTGCTTGGCAGATTACAGGGAGACGGCGGCTTCGCAGTGGTGTAATCGAGTTTGCCTGCACGAGTTCCTGGAAGGGGCGTTGATGCCCTTACCACGCTCACGTGTCCCTCCTGGAATTTCACCAAAGAGACCAGTTAGTCGTGCCAGATATATATTTCGTGATTTTCGCCGTAGATGCAGTGCTAACATTAATATTGCCTTGCAGGATGCACCTAACTGGGGACTCTGCTGCTACCATGGCGTCCCAGTGCGGAATACCAGTCAGAGCGATGTTGCTTTGGTGATTCCAGTTTCACTCGTTGGCAAGATTGTTCGAAGAACGTTTTGGATCAGATTGGGGCATATTAGTTGTGGATGCTATACTGTTGCCTTCTGCTCATATCCTTGACGATTCGACGGTGGCAAATGCTGATTCAGAGACGCTGGCCGAGCTTATTGCCGCCATCGGTAGTGCAACATGACCCATCGTTCTGCTTGTTACGCACGCAAACGTGACACCGCTGGCAAACGTCGACGGACTGACGGGACGCGCAGCAGCTGCCTTGTTGAATTCTCATTGGCCCGCCATGTAGAGGACTTAGATGCCTGTCCTTAGCAGTTTCTCGATCCCATATGAACGTAACCCTTCCCCTGAATCGGGAAGTGGTGACGAAGGTGTGACGAAAATTTCCATCGCGGACGAAATCTCGGATCGACATATTAATTTCGTGTTGGGTGATCGGTGGGAGGCTTATGTGGATCACCCGATTGACTGCTTCCCGCACCTGACATTTCGGAAGTCGGACCACGTGCCAGTTGTGAGGATGTTCAAGGTGAAGTCGCGCGCTTGGACGTCACTCCAGCGAACACAGTTCAGATGAAAGTTGATACAGCATGTATGCTTGATGTCGTCCATGGCGTCGCTTGGCGTCGTGCGCCCCATTGGTGCGAAGTTCGATGTTTTAAGATTGTTGTGGAACGCTTTGCAGATACAACCTCGCAGACACTTCATGTCGATACTTGGCACACGTTCGAATTAATGGGAATCCCGAGGGCGAACATGCAAGAGTGTTTGTTGTTAAGGACTTCAGGTGGATTAGCATTTTTGATCATATTTCCAAGTACGGTGCGACGCATTACTCAGCTATCGCGAAATCGATGCGGGTCCCCAGTCGTTCCAATTAGCTTTGGGTACGAAATGGGAGCGTCTGTGAAGGATTGCTTGTCTGTCCTGTGTGAGGCTCTTAGTTATTCAACTCCTTGGACGGACTCTCCCGTCATCATCGGTGCCCAAGATGTGCAGGCAGCTTGGCAGCTTACGATTCCGTGGAGCACGTGCCCGTGTTGGAGCAATTGCGGAAGGCAGGCGATTCTCCGCATCAGGTGCTTGGACGGGCCAAGGATTATTCGGATTGGGACGTACATTTTATCATCTTTGGCATTGCGAACGACTGCGTGGACATTACGAAAACGCTGAGCACGGGGGGGAAATACGAACCTAACGTGTTGGTACATATGTTCGGCGCTGCCTTGGGGCCGCTGTTGGAAAAGTAGGATTTTCGTATTGCCTCGCGCTTCAATTGGAAACCAGTGGGCGAAGAGTTACGAACGAGAGCGGGGGAGAACATGTGCTTCAGCTAGCGCCTGATGTGCAGCAGTGGAGGTTCATGACATAATCGCTCACATGAGTTCTTCAGGGTAACTATGGTTGGCTGATTTGGAGCCAATTTCTTGTTGTGTAGATGTTTCAGATATCGACTCTTGACTCGCCGTCGGGACGCAGATTCCGAGGTGCAAGACCGTTCGCCCCATGGAGGCGCTGGTTGGGGCACTCTGTGCAGACGACACCACGGGCGAGCTGTTGGCCCACCGCTTCGACAGAGGAGACCGGTGTTCTATCAGTATCAGAAATCATTTCGTTGGAAAGTTTGCGTGTCACTGAAGCTGAAAGCATTACGCGTCGATGCCCACAGAGTCGACCTTGTTTTGGGCTGCTCTAGCGCAGTGGACCCCGAGCCGGCTGAAATACTCTCTAAGGTGGGAGCACGGTGCACCTCGACGGGCCTACCGCTTGAAGCGGAGAGACACAGTACAGAGCGCGCTGTGTTTTGCGAGCGGACGGCACGACAGTTCGATCGATGGTTTTCGCGCGCCGGCGATAAAGCAAATGCACGTCGGCATCTTGGAGACATGCGCGAATTTATGGAAACAGCGGGCTGCAGCAGTGGCGGGGGCGATAAGGCGGGATCGCGACCGTCGCTGGGCCGTCAGAGGTGTACCGTCGCAGGTCCGAAGGAGACCGGCGAGGTCCACGCGCGCAGAGGCCGCCCGCAGGAACGAGATTCCACACGGGCCTCGGCGCGGCGACCGCACCGGCGCGAGCTTTGACGCCTTCCCATGCGGAGAGGATTGAGCGGCAGCGATGCCCGCATTCGTCCGCGACGCGTGCAAGTTGTTCGGCATGCCCTTGCCGCGCGAAAGCACTGGCGGCGGGCAGGGCGGTGCTCGGGGGCAGAGGTCTCCAGGGCCCCCAGCCAAGGGGAGCTACACTGCTTCATGGCATCTTCCATCGATGCCAGAAGCAATTGAACTCGGTCGCGACCGTCTCTGGCATCGAGGTACATCGTGGCCGCAGCTTGAATTTGCCGTGGACAGTTTGACCTTGGCGGAGGTTGTGAGCGGGGCAGGTGCCATCAACGACGAGCAGTATCGCATTCCCCTGGGTAGGGTCCGCTTGCGCCTTTTACGGTTATTCAATAACGCGCTTGAATGGAATTGGGCATTATTTGATCCAGTGGATTGGAGACCTCGGGAGTTCAACGGGCCAACCGATCATGTCGCGAAATACGTTCTGCTTCGCAAGGAGGATTTCCACGCGGCGCATCCAGACCGCATGGATCGCGATTGTTTTGGCGCACATACATTTATAGACGGTTGTTTCGGCGTGGGCGCGCGAGGGGAATGGTCCCACCGTCGATACGGCGATTCCGATGCAAAAGTCCAGCCCTTTGGTGGGCGGGGGTGTCCCGCCGTGCTGTCTCGCTGTGCCCCGATGGCGCCCGCTGTGTCTCGCCGCGGGCGCGCGAGAGGAACGAAGCCGCCGTCGCTACAGCGATGCGGGTGCAGAAGTCCAGCCCTCCAGTGGGCGCGAGGTGGCTGGGAGTGTCCCGCCGCAGTGTCCCGCGTTGTCCCGATGGTGTCCCGCGGTGTCCCGCCGTGGTGTCCCGATTGTGTCTCGTGGTGTCCCGTGGCGCCCCGTGGTGTCAATCGGTGTCCCAGTGTGTCCCATAGTGCCCCTTGGTGTCCAGTGGCGTCCCGCGGTGTCTCGTGGCGCCACGCCGCGGTGCCCCGATGGTGTCCAGACAGGCTCGGGCCACTTGCGCGCAGTTCGTGTGGAGGCGAAGTCGCGAATGCTGGAAAACCATCACGCCGCCATCAACAGTCAACCACCACAGCCAGCAAACATGCAGCACAGCGCAGTGGCGGTGGCACTGGGTTGGCTCGATGGTGTCCCGATGGTGTCCCGATCGTACCCGGCTCCATTCAGCGTGAGACCGTTAAGTCTGGACCCATCGATCTCTGGACCCATCGATATTTAGATTGCCCGTAAGCTCGATCGTGAGATCGATCGAGCGATATCGATAGTCTTCCAGACCCCGCGCGCGAGGTCGCAGGGAAACCGCCTCGGCCCAGGGTGCCGGTCTGCAGGCCTCCCCCTCTGAGGGGCTCTCTCCCCGACGGTTCTCCGTCGGTGCGGCCCTCGCCGCCTGCCTCCCCTGCGGCCTTTCCGCAGCCATTCTGGCCATGCGCCCAATACCGCCCGGCACGCGCCCTGCTGGGGTCGTCGGTGTCTGTCCAGGCCCCCAGAGAGTCTCCGTCTCTTGGCCCCCCCCTGCGCCTTGCCCTGCGGGGGGCGCTCGGGGCTCTTTCGCTCTACCCCGTGTTGGCCTGGGGCCCGCGGCATCAGGGCACACTGCCTCGGCTGGCCCTCCCCAGCGCCCGGCTCGGGGTCCTTCGCCATACTCGCGTGCCCCCCCGCCTCCTCCCGGGCGGCCAGTGCGGGCCGTCTCTTTCTGTCCCTCCCCGCGCGGGGTCGACGGACTCATAGTCCTCCCCCACCGTGCCTGCCCCTCCCTGCAGTCCTCTGGCTGAACCCTCTCGCCACCTTGGCGGCGCGGGCTGCTCGTCCCCGCCTGATGGCACCCCCGACAGTTTCCCGGTGTCTGGCGATCCGGACTTGTTCCGTTGAGCGCCCGTATGTTTCGTTGATTTCCTCCGAAGCGTTGGCCTCGCTGTCATACGTTTTGCGGTCCCTCAGCTCGGCTTGGGTTCGCTGCTCGTCTTGCTGACGGTCTTCTTCGACGTGGACGTGGAGTTGGCCCCGAATCCCACCATTTTGGTGCTACACGTCGCCCGGAAAGACTTCCCGGTGTGCGCCCTTGTGAGCGGCAGTGAGGCCCGCCTCTTGTTTGCCTCCCTCGCTTGATCTTTCTTATTTTCGCCCTTCCTCTTCCTTTGCGCCAATTCAGTCCGTTGCTTGTCTGCACCGCCCGTGGACGCCGCCCGACCTTTTTGCCGCGGTCGCAATCAAATCCATATCCCCACCAGCCCATCCAGAACCGATATATTGCAATCTTGGCCTCGTGCAGGCGTTGCAAGAAAGTATACAGCGCAATGGACACCTTGTATGCCTTTTTTGTCGGGGGTGCGAGGAAGGCGGCGACATGTGTTGTATTGTTCCAGATGTGTCGACTTGCCACGTTTATGTCATCGGGGGGCGGGCGCGATGGGGGGTTCCAACAATGTTGCCAAGGCTGTTCCGAACGGTTTCAAACAAAACATCATATCATATTGCCCCGAAGGAGAGAAGAAATGGAATAGGAGGAGGAAGAGGGAGGAGGAGGAGGAGTAGGAGGAGGAGGGGGAGGGGGAGGGGGGAAGGAGGGAGGAGGGAGGGAGGAACAGGAGGAGGAGGAGGAAGTCCGTGGACGAGAATGTGTAATTAGAATGAGGCGTATGTCGCTTGCGCCATGTGAAGTTGGAGTCTCCACCGGTTGCGCCATGTGAAGTTGGAGTCTCCTGCCCGCGCGCCGACGCGCCATTGGGTGGCCCGGGGGGCGGGCTCGCGCAGCATGTGGAAGCATGCAAGAGTCGAAACAGGTGTGTGAGACATCGCAGCTGCTGGCCAGAGGACCCGATGCCCATGGATGATAGTAGGGCCGTATAGTATCCACGCGAGCCTTCTCAGTCCCCGTAGCTTCACCCTGCGCAGCGGGGCCTGGAGTAGAAGGAGGAGGTCGAGGAAAGTGAGGAGGAGGCATATCCAGAAGGAGGCAGAAGGGAAAATGTGCATGGTGGAACGCTGGGGAGGCACGAACAGGGGGAGAGAGAGGTAGGATGAGGAGGGGAGGAGGAGGAGGGGAGGAGGAGGAGGAGGAGGAGGATGTGGACGAAGGGGACAGGGGAGAAGGCCCCTCAGCGGGCCGTGAGGGGCAATGATCTTGCCGACGGTCTTGCTTTGAAATCTCGCCTCAAGGGCTCCCAGGAGCAGCATCACACATACGTCTGTGATTCCTGTAGGTGGATTGCCTGGTTCGGGGAACTGCTCAGTAGGAGATGTTTCCCATAATCATGCCTGTGTCCCGAGGATGTGTACTAAGTGGCGGGAGAGGGGGGATACAGATGTGCCAGATGTGAAGCTTCTAAGTTTCCCGAGTCTGCCGTGTATGCCCTCCCGTGTGTCCACGTCTGGTCGGGTCTGCCCATCCCAGACACAAGTTTTGGGTGGAGCATTGGAGAGATGCTCGCATGGTTTTGGCGATGTTCGGCTACGCCTTCTCGGGAGGAGAGTGCCTTAAATGCCCCCGTCAAGCCAGCTGAGCAGACCCTCGGGCTCAGGAAGGCAGGGCAGGCTCCGTCTGTAAAGTCCGTCCTCGCGAGGAGCATCCCCCTGCCTCTTTCGCCGAGGCCGCCTTGAAGTCCGGTTACCGTTCCCTCGCGGCCGGGGCCCTTTTTCTTTTTTCGCATTCGTTAGCCGTTCGCCCGCTTCCATGGAATTTCGCCTGGAGGCGCATGATTCCTCAAGGATCAACAAACAGGAGATTTAAGAAGAGGCGGAGGAAAAGAGGGAGCGGGAAGGGGAGGGAGAGGAAGGAGCCGCGGGGGGGAGGGGGAAGGGAATGGTGTATGGAAGGATGGGTTGGGGGCTCCAGAGGGGGAAAAGAACGAGAGAGAGAGAGAGAGCAGGAGGACCGCCCCCCTTCTCCGGACTGGCTCCTTCCTGCAGGTCGGGGTCTCCAGCGCAGCCGGTGAGGCGGTCGCCGAGCTATCCTTCGCGGTGCGCCTTCTCCCCCCCAGCGGCTTGGCGTACCAGGAGGCGGCGTCCGCCGCCGCTGCCGCGTAAAGAGCGATTTTGGGAGGCACGATTGTTGCCGACCTCCGTCTGGCATCTTGCCGCCGGGGGTGTCAACTGACCACCTCACCGAGCTTTGCAGGCCGCTCCGGGGCCCAACGTGCCTTCATGGCCAGGCCGGGAAAGCGCGTGCACCGATCCTGGGCCCAGGAATGGCTCGGCTCGAATCGGTAAGGAGGTCAGCTGACGTCCCCCGAATGTTGCGTCTGGCCTCCCGACCGCATGAGGCCGCCAGTGTTGTAGATTTCCGGGTGAGTGGTGGGGCTTCATCGGGGCCGCCTTGAAGGTCTTCGAGCTTCCTTGGCCGATCCATCGTCTATGGATCAAGCAGGGGGGTCGTTCCAGTTATAGTCATCCTGTCGGAGCTCTAAAAACTCGTAAGCTCGACAGCTCGTATCGTTCGGCTCTTCTGGGACGGTGTTGGGGTGTTATTGCAGGCCTCTGGATCCGTCTTGGAACTCGTGTGGGCCCCGCCTGGGAGGCCTCGGAAACGCATCGGCGGCGAAAAAGGCGAGAACGCAAACATATTTGAGAAGCACTAAGTGTTTGAATGGTCATGGCATCAGATGGACTTGGCAGGCTCCGTGGAACCCTTGAGCTACTGTGGGGCTTCTTAGGTGCATACTGAAGGCCATCTTGACCAAACCTCTGTTCTCTGAAACCATGTTTCAGCCATCGAGGGTCATCTTGGACGCTCAGGTGGACGCTCTCGACGGGGGGATCCACGCCCCTTCCTCAAAGGGGGAAGACACGAGCACGCTTATCCGCGAAGCCAGCTGCGCCCAGCGTGATTGTCAGTTTTTTTGTGCGCAAGCGAAGGTGTGAGGTCGGCTGGAAGTGATAGTTGACATGTCTTTGATTCGTGTTGGCTCTGGCGTTGAACAGGACCACCCGAAGAAGGTAAAGCGCATACGAGTGTAGTGGGGAGGATGGCGAGGGATGTGTGTGGAGTGACTGCAACATGGACCCTGCTCTCAGCTGGCCTCGCTCACAATTGAACGCAGCGGCCACCGCATGGACATTGCCCTACATCTGAACCTGCACCTTGAGGACAGATCATGGACGCTTGGAGCCCAACGGCAATTGTGAGTGGACAACGAAGTTTTAATGGATGCCATGAGTTTTGCCAGTCAGTGGGCGCGCTGCACTGGCCGACGACACACTCTTGTCCGCCTTCGTGCGCATCATCCAGGGTTTCATTCCAAGAGCGTGGGGGTGGCTGCCACGGATGGGGCACGCTTCTCTTGTCCCGCTGGATGCCACGAATGCAACTCCACGTAGCGTGGCGGAGCATGCGGTCAATTTTGTTTTAGAAACGCATGCATCCCGGGCGTGTCGCCCAGGAGGACGCCTCCTCCGTGCTCTGCAACAGCGGTTTTGCAGCGGGCTGCGTCACCGCAGCGAGCGCCTCAGGTTTACCCACCGCGTGCTCGGTCTTCTCTTGCACCAGAGGAGCACACGCATGTCTGTCGCAGCGCCGTTGATCCCGAGGCTGGTGCGCTCAACGGGGCCGTGCTTGCATTCGTGGCCGCCTGTAGATGGCCGTTGCTCTGTACGTCCTCCATCTCCTTTTTCCACATTGAGTAGTACGAGCGACGTAGAATTTGCGGTTCGACTGCGCAGGCATTGGCGCGTAAGTTGCCCGCGTGAGGCCGTGCGTGCGCCCCCTTCTTGCTACCTTGCCTGCCGCGTGAGCGGCCAACATAAGCAATCGTGTAAAGTTAATTCGGCACCGTGTGTCGGACCCCTTTTTGTTCGCCCCTCCCTCCCGCACGTCCTCCTTCTCCCCCCCATTCGTTTTTCCCCTCGGGACCAATTGCCGTCCGCCCCTTGCCCCGCTCTAAATTTGGTCCTCATGCTTCTCCTCCGTTTTCACACATTCCTTCTCCTGAAGTCCCCCCTGCTGCTGCTCCTTAGTCTCGTCATGTTTCACTTCACCCTGAGAGTATCCTCTGCCTCCTACCTCTGCCTGTGATACCCGCTCGCATGCCCATTATGTTCCTCCTGCCTCGCCTGCAGCTGCCACCATCCCGTGTTCGCTTCTCCTGGAGATCTTGATGTAGTTGACGGTTGCGACCTCCTCCTGGTTCGTTTGCTTTTGTTATTGTTCTTTTTCTTTGTCGTGCTAAGGCTACGGCCTGCGCACAGTTTCCGAAGACCATTGAACCGGTTTGTGGAAAAGCGGCCCTTGGGTGAGGGGACCCTACACGTTTCCAAGGGCCCCCACACATGGTACGGATAGGGAGCACAGCGACAGTTCATCCTAGCTGATCTTGGCCGCACCCGCAGGCGGATGCCAGATACTTCACCAGCCAAGCGATCAGCCTTGTGCCGGAGGTGCGCGGGTCGCCCCTTCGCGCGGCTGGGGCGCGCAGCATGTATTGTTTGCAGCTGGCGTGCGAGGGCAGGGGTCCCCCCTCCCCCCCTGCCAGGGAGGGTGAGGGGGGAGAGGAGAGGAGACGGGGAGGGAACGGAGAGAAGGGACGGGGGAGGAGGGAGGGGAGAGGGAGGGAGGGGGTCGTCGAGCCCGTGCTCCATGACAAGACTGCTCTATGACAAGACTGCGCCCCCCCTCCCGACTCCTCCTCCCCCCACACATCATTCCTCTCCACCCCCCTCCCCAACTCATCTTATCAGAGTGAGATATGACCGAACGGTCTTACTCCATCCCTGCGTGCGCGTCGTCAACTCGGAGCCTCAGCCCGGGTGTCGGCACGCTGTGCGGGCACGCTGTGCGGGCACGCTGTGCGGGCACGCTGTGCGGGCGCGCTGTGCGGGCGCATTGTGCGGGCGCGCTGCGCGGGAGCGTTGCGCGGGCGCACTTTGCAGGCGCACTTTGCGTGCGCGCTAATGTGGTGCACACCCATCGCTCTTATCCGCAATTGAGGGGTGCTACCTATTATCCTCCAACCTCGTTCCTCCTTCGTCCTTCCTCCTTCCTGCATGTCTTACCCCCCCCCTCCCTCCCCCGCCGCCCCACCTTCTGATATCCATTCTGGCCCTCCCGTCCGTGCACAGCTCTCCCCTGACTGCCTTCGCTGCCTTCCACACTAAAAATCCCCCTTTCCCTGGCGTCCTCTCACTGCCCGGAATCGGCCAAGATCAAATGATTTGTATATTGCAGAGCCGCAATCGCTCAAGGCTAAACGATGGGCGGGGTGTCAGAAGAAACAACGCACAATCGTCACGACAGGAGCCTGCCGTAGCTGGCGCACTCCTGGTCCCTACCTCATCCGCCTTCCCCCACTCCCCCCCAGGCTCAGGCCATGGCATCCGGGCCGGCATGGTTGGCTCCATGTCAGCATTGCGGGCCGCTCGGGTCGGCCCCGCGGGCTGCGCCGAGCATGCCAGGCTTGCCGGGGCCAGTCCTTGGTTGGCGACAGCGACCGTGGCCATGGGAGGCATTGGGGGAGGAAGAATCCTAACGAAGACTGAGGTCGGGCGCAACAGTTTTTTCACTCTGGACGTTCTGTCGCGGTTTCGGGCCCTGGGGCCTCCCAGATGGAGCCAGGCTTCAGGAATGCTGGTCTAGGGCCTCACTCGTGAATTCTGACCATGTTTCAAGTTTTTTGGTGAAGTCGGATCTCAGGATTGGGAACGGGCGGGGGTACCAAAATTGTTGCATGCTGGTGGTTGGTTTCGGCCACACCGCCAGGCCATTTCTCGATGCATGGGCGCCTGCGGCGTCGGGAGGCGCCGGGAAAACAATCTACGTGAGCTGATTCGCGAACGTCCCCTTCAATTCCCCCCCTTTTCGTCCGACCCGAGGCATGCTGGAGTGGTACGACTTCTCGGGGGGCATTCGCTGACCACCTCACCGCTCCTGGCCAGGCCCATCGTTGACGCCCTCCTGGCCTTGGCCAGGGAGGCGTACACGCCGATCCTGGGCCCAGGAGCGACCAGGGGCCAGAGGACGGAGGGTTGGTGATGCGGTCAGCTCATGCCACCCCGAACTTCGCGATGTTCGGCTTCCTGGTGCCAGAGATCTCTGCGGCGTTCTTCCCCGCGGCCTCCCCGACGAGCTCCATCATAGAGGCGTGCAGCGTGTTCGGGGGCGCGTTCCTGATGCGGCCGATCGGCGGAGCCTTCTTTGGCCACGTGGGCGACGGCGGGCGCGCGGGCGCGCTGAACCCGCACAGGGCTCTGGAGGGCTCCCTGCTGGCCATGGCGGCTCCGACGGTGCTGCTGGGCTGCTTGCCCAGCCACGCGCAGGTGGGGATTGCCGCCCCGCTGGCGCTGATGCTCGTTCGGCTGGGCCAGGGGTTCGCTGTGGGCGGGCAGCTGGTGGGGGCCTGGCTGGTTGCGGAGCTACATTCCCCCACGGGCTGGAAGACCGCCTACGTGAGCATGTCGCTCAGCGGGTGCGTATTGGGCTCCGCCTTGGGAGGGGCTGTGAACTTCGTCTGCCGCTCGGTCTTCACAGGCAAGGCCCTTCTGGCCTGGGGCTGGCGCGTGCCCTTCTTCTTCGGCGCAGCGCTGTCCGTTGCTGCATACATAGCGCAAAGAAGGATGCGGCCGCAAGAGGATGTGAACACGAACCTGGGAGAGCTTGATTGTGAGGTGCGTCTGGAGAGCGTGACCGACGAGACTTGCGTCGACGGTGCCTTGCCTGTCTTACAGGTTCTCAAGAAGCAGCTCGCAGATATTGGAGCCGGGTCCCTTGCATGGGGTATGATGGTCAGTGGGTTCTGGACCTTCTTCGTATTCCTACCAACTTTTCAAATGACAACCTTTGGTATGGATCCAGTTCGCGTTGCTGCAGCCAATGTATTCAGTCTACTGGCTCTCGTTTGCGCAGTGCCCGTGTTTGGAATATCATTTGATTGGTTCTGCTTGCGTATGATGCCAGGGGAGAGGTGGCATCTCCAGTCCATGACTCTGCAGGCTACTGCCGCAGTTCTGGTGGCCCTGTCGATCGGCATATTTCAGATAATGGCTCGCAGTGGGACGATGGTTGCGCTGGGCATGCAGTGTTTCTTGGTCGTCGGTATGGCCGCAGCCGCAGCAATGCTTCCATGCTGGATCATGGCATTGTTTCCAGCGGAGACCCGCTACACGGGGGTAGCCTTGTGCGTGAACCTCGCCTCGGCTTTCGCCGGTGCGCTGGCCCCTTCTTGCGCCGCGGCACTAGCGTCGCGCGATGCCAGCCTTACCGGGGCCTTCGTCGGGCTCTGCGCGCTGTGCGCCGGCGCCGGCGTCCACTCCGCGCAGCGGAGGGCGGCCAGAGGGGCCGCCGGCGTGCCGCTGGGCTTGTCTCCGAGCGGGGGGGCCCATGGCGCCGACGCTGAGCGCCGAGGTCTGTCGGGTGAGCGTCCGCCCGAGGGCGCCGACGCCAGAGCTGGCGACGTCGTGCTGGCCGCTACGAAGCTCGGGTGCGAGTGAGGCCCTTTCTCTCCTCTCGTCCTCCTTCCCCTCTGCATGGCTCCTGCAGCCAGCGACAAGCAGAGGTCAGAGCGCTCACCCACCTGGTCTGAGGCGTGGACGTGCGCCCGCAGCGGTCGAGCATCGCTACGGGCATTGCCTTTTACCCTTGGCCCAGTGCGTTGTTCCAGTTTTGCTAGGCGTATTTCCGCGCCTTGCTCTGGTTCATTCCTGCGGTCGACGGTCGCCTTGGACGAATAAGATCGCCTCGCCCTGCTTGTATGCTCTCCAGCAGCTCCTTGTGAACGTCTGAGGGGGACGACCTCGGACCTCGTTGTCCTCCTCGTCTTGCTTGGAGGCCTCGCTGACCCTTAGCCCGTGCGTCGAAAGTGTGTTTTCGGCCAGCAGTTATTTGCCCGTGGCCTTCGTGGTCTTCGCAGACGTCCAAACGTCGGTTGCTCTGCCGCGTGCGTCCGCCACCGCTCTGTAGGGCTGGCCGGGAGGAGGTGGTGGGGACATGATTTGGCAGAAGAAGAGCGGTGTAGCATAACCTTGTCCGCCATCGGGGATGCCTGTCCGGGCGGCGGCACCCCACGGTGGCACGTCGGTGCAGAAGCTTTCCGGCCGCCTGGGGACCTGGGGACAGACGCCGCCGATGGCGGGAAACCTTGTGTTGCACCGTCCTCCGCCCGCCCAGTGAGCGCTCCCGCGTGGGACCGCTTCTTCTCCCTCCCCTCTTCACCTCGAGTTGCTGTGACGCGACTCGAAGCACGAGAGCGCACCCGCCTCGGCCCGCCTGGGGCCCACGACCGCACGGGCCGAGCTGCCAGGGCGGGCCAGGCGGCAGGCGCGCGGCATTCGCGCAGCACAGTGCATCACGGTGGCGGCAGCACGAGGGTTTGCGCACAGCCAGGGCGCTGAAATGAGGAGCGGTTCGGATTCGGAGGGGGCTCGTTGCTCTTCGGGTCCTCCCATGGTTGTTCCACCAGCGTTCCTCGAGTGTCCATGCGCTCTTGGGGCCAACAATGGGTTCAGTTCTTTATGGCAGCACGATGACTGTATGCACACCAGACGTCTTAGTTGTAGTGTAAGAGTGTGAGATTCCAATGAAACCTGGTTCGCCCCTGAGGTTGCACAGTTGTTAGCCCGTCCTCATCATCAGTCCTTTTGCTTCGGTTGCTGCGGTTGCATCCTTTTGGTTTTGCGTCTCTTGTTGCCCCTGCTCTTACCTTGACCTATATTTATCCTACTGTTAGCTTATGCTCGTGCTTGAGCCAAACGCAATGCCACATACATTTGATTCCCATGATCGGCATACCATCACTTCAACGTGTTGTTGTACTATGTGTTTGATGCATGGGTGCATTCGGCTGAGGATAGCAGTTGGGTTCCCAGGAGATGGGTCGGATAATGGGAGGAGGAGGAGCAAAAATGAGGACGTGGATGTGGATGTCTGGAGATCTGGAGAGTGCGGGCACATCCGCGTTGAGAAGGAGTGGCAGCAGCAGGACGATGCCGAGGGTGGAAACTTGGAAGAAGAAGTTGAGACGGGACTGGACAGGGAGGGAAAGAAATCAAATGATAAAGAGTGCAGGCGGGCTGACGAGGACGTGAACAAGGAAGATCGATGAAGGAGGAGGGGACATCTATCTATACGAGTATCTATTTTTATATATATATATATATATATATATACAAGACAGCATTGGCGCTTCGCGCCATGCACCGCGGTCCTTGAAGTTTGGCGTGCAGGCGGAAGTCGCGGCGGACGGGCAGGAAGGTAAAGCAGAAACAATATGTCTTTTCCGACATCGTCGTTATAATCAGGGCTTGCACGTGTATGCTGTTAGGGGGGGGGGTGTCTTCTGGCCACAGAAAAATATTATCTCCGTTCCAAAATGGTTGGTTTCCGTTTTCCGTATTTGCGGCCATTTTGGTTTCAAGTCCGATTTTGGCTTCGTCCCAACTCCGCGGCGGATGCTGGGCGTCCTCCGGGCTGCTGGGCCGTGGCTGGGGCAACTGAGCGCGGCGTGGGTGTCGCGGGCGCCCGCCTGCCCTGCGTGGCCCGCGTGGCCCCACGTGGACGCGCGGTTCGAGTCGCGGTGCGCGACCTGCCCGGCTCGCCCGGCTTGCCCGCCGTGCTCCGCGCTGGCCTGCGGCGCGGCGCCAAAGGTGCCCGGCGTGCCCGTTGCCAGCGCCCTGCGAGGCGGCGCCGACGCCGCCGTGCCCCTCGCCCGCCCCGGCCGCCGGCTGGGGCCTCGAGGCCGGGTTTTGCTTCGGCTTGCTCGCTGGCGCGCCCCTCGTGCTGGAATTTGTGACTGCGCTGACGGCGCTACGCCGGCTGGCGGCCTGGGCCCGGGCGGCGCCCGCCGAGCGGCCCCGCTCGGCCTTTGCGGCCGTTCCGGCCGTCGCGGCGGGCTGCGAGGTCCCCGCCCTTGAAGGAGGAGGCGAAACTGCGGTCAGGAGGCGCGTCGTGCCGCGCGGTGGCGGCGTGGTGGTGTCGGCGTGATGGCCGCGCTCGGCCCGGGGACGTACGCCCACGTGCGTTACGACGAGCAGGGGCCTCTTTGAGAGTTGTGGTACGAGAGACTGATCCTGTCGTGGGTCGTCGCCAGCTTCAACGTGGTCCCCACGCCGGACTACGACATGTTCATCGAGCAGTTGGACGTGGCGAGCGCGTGAACGGCCTGCGGTTCGGGGTTCCCTGAGGGGAGTTGCCTTTGGGCTTGGCGGGCGGCCAGGTGTACCGCTTCCGCGCGGCGCCGACGCCGGAGGAACTCACGGCGCTCTTGTCCGAGGGGGCCGCCGTGGCGGTCGTGCACTGTCGCAGCTTGCGGGGGCCGCCGTTGCCGGCGTCGTGGGAGGCATCGCGCTGGCGGCCGGCCGTGCCAGTGCCGCTGCCCGCGCCCCCGGGGCCACCCGCCCCCGGCGCCCCCTCGCCGGCGCCGCCGCCCCCGCGTCGTGCCAGGGCGGGAGGCTCGTGGGTGCTGGATGTGCCCGGCGAGACCAACGCGGTGGGCCAGAAGGTGGCACCGTCGCTGGCGGCGCTCGACTTCGGCGGCCGCTCGGCGGCGGCGGTCGCCGGCGAGTTCTGCATTCAGCTGGTGGCGAACACGGACATCGACGCTTGGGCCCACGACCGGCGCGCCAGGCTTCAGCAGGGCGAGCCGCGATTGGTGGCGCGGCCTCGCGGGGGAGCGGCCGTGCCCTTCCTGGCCGACTCGCGCCGGTCCAGCTGAAGGGGTACGACACTATCGGCGATGCGGTCACTGGCCTTCAGGCTCGGTCGCCAGGCGGATTCATGGCCTCGCACGAGCGCTGGCTGGTCGAGTCCAGGGTCAGCTCGGGGCCACCTCTCCTCCATGGAATGCCTCAACAGACGCCGGCAGCTGCTGGAAGAGGCCCACGCGAAGGACCCCGACAAGGCGGACTTCGAGGGTGCACGCCACTTCATGGGGGAGGACGGGGTCGCCTCCGGCGCGCCGGCAGCGCCGTCGCTCCGGGCGCGCGCGGCGACGGAGTTCGCGAGGGAGGCGGTCGATCGAGAAGGAGCGCCGCAAGGCCAGAGAGGCGAGGGAGCCGGGTCCCAAGGAATCGATCTGGCGCGAGGGACCGATTGCTCCTCGGAGTGGAGGCGGCGGGGCATCGACCCCGTCTGGCGCAGCCGCCTCGCTGACTTGCCGACGCCAGGCGCCGCGCCCCCTGCGCATTTTGCCAGGGGTTCCCTGGCAGGAAATCGCCCGCCCTCTGGCGCTGCCGGCTGGCCCGATGCCCCCCGGGGCGGCGGGGGCCCGACTGGCCGGCGAGGCGCAGGGGGCTCAGGCGAGCTCTTTCCCTTGCCACTCATCGGGGCAGAGGCTCCGCTGAGAAGCGGCGACGGCCAGACCAGGACTGGACAGCGCCGCGCGCGCCTCCGCCAGGCTGCCGCGGCGGCCGCCGACCGCTGCGTTCGGGCTCTCAGCGCGCTCCACGGCTGCGAGCGGGAGCACGAGTGCATGGTGGCGCCGGCGCAGGACGCTGCGCAGCGGAGAGTGAGTGCCCCGCGCGTCGCGGAAGGCTCGGCACGATTTTGCTGACCAGCTCTCCGAGCCGCCCCGCGAAGCTGCTGCTCGGCTTCTGGGCAGTGCCTCCGACTATTCTGGCGCGGACTGTCCCGTTCGACCTCGCCAATCAGAAGTCCTCTGCCTACCTTCTTTGGGGCGGCCGTCGGCGCCGATGGCCGCGCTGTTGGACATGCGTGGCCTCCGCGTGACTGCGAGGCGACTCATGGCTGACGATGGCGGCGCATTCCAGCGGCGCAATGACGGCCCTGGTCGACCATGCTTCGACGCGGTCTCGCGGTCCGACCGGGCGGCCTAATTTTGAGGCGCGCGTGGCGGACGTCGACATCTCGGCCCCGCGGGCCGCCGCGGCGGGCGGCCGATTGCGGGGGGGGGCGGCCGATTGCGCTTCGCGCTGGACGGCAGGTTGGCGAACATGTGGCTCCGGCACGCACCCTGCGCCGAGATCGCCGCCACCGAGTCGATCTCCTTGCATGAGGTCCCCGAGGGCGGCCAGCTGTGCGTCGCCGGCGCGGACGTCGAGTGCTGTTTCTACCAGTGCGGCGGCTTCGGCGACCTGGGTCGGCGCTTTTGGCTTGCCCGACGCGGCGTCTTTGGGCTGGGGGCGCTTCGAGGGCGGCCCCCTGATCCGCGACGGCCAGGCCGTCTTCTCGGCCCCCGAGGTGCTGCCAATGTGCCAGAGCTGGGTCTTCTGGTTCACGCAGCGGATGCATCTTGAGATGGCGAGGGGAGCTGGTGCCCCGTTGGCCCGGATCGCGTTGGGGCTGCCATGCTCCGACAACATCAACGTCTTCGGCTTGGACAGCGACGAGGCGATCAAGACGCAAGGCTTCCCTGCCAAGCAGTTCGAGGCCGCCGGCTTCCAGCTCCACGAGAACACCGACGTCGGCAGCTCGGCGACCGCGCTGTGCACAGGCGTCTGAGGACATCCCGCCAGAGCGCAGCGGGCGGGCGCCAGTCTGGGCCCGGCCACCCCGCGTCGCGCCCTGGTGCGGCTCGCCGAGGATCCGGTGGTAAGCGGGCGCCAGATCGAGGTCGTCGCGGGATACTTCGTGGCGGCCTGCATGCTCTGCCGCCCGGCTATCTCCTGTCTCCGAGCCTTGTGCGACTTCGTCAAAGACAGGTCTGACAAGCCGTGTTTCTTTTGGCCCTCTTGCCGCTGCGAGTGCTGGGGCGCGGGCGGCGTCTCGGTCTTGATGAGCACCGATCTCTCGTGTCCGTGGGCGGACCGCGTCGCGGCCGCCGACGCGTCGACCGCCGGCATCGGGGTCGTGGAGGCGTCTGCCCGGGTGGTTGACGTCGCGGCCGCCTGGCGGTGGCGCGAGCGCCGGCGCTTCCGCGGGCTCGACCCGGCCGAGCAGGCGCCTTGTCGGCGCGCATTGGACGGGCTCGATGGAACCGCTCTGCCGCGCAAAGCGAGGGACATCCATCTCAGGCATCGGATGTTGGTTGGAGATTGCACCTTGGCTTCCCCGAGGTCGATCGAAACCTTCTCGATTTGGACTTCCGCGCCGCGCGCGCCGGCCCGCTTCGCTGCCAAGAGTCGATCGGGGTGAAGGAGGGGGGGGCTTATTTATTGTCCCTGAGGAGAGACGCAAAACACGTTTCGAATCACATCGCGATTCGCCTCTACCTCGTCGACAACTTCGGCATCTGCTGCTCGATCGAGCGCGGACGCGTTGCCTCGCGCGGGCCCCTGCAGATCTGTCGTCGATCGGCTGCGTTGCAACTTGGCTCGGATATTGGGGCGAGGGCTCGCCGGGGGCCCCTTCCGAGGTGAACGCCGGGCACGAGCCCTCGCGCCTCTGCGAGCATCTCCGGCGCGACCAGGATAGCCACGCTGGGGCCGCCGAGCGCGGCTGCGGCT